TGGTTAAGATTTAAACTAGGAAGTTTTGTCCCCCAGTTCCAAAAATGAGGGTGCCTGGTCACTGAGACAAGTAGGATATGAACCTGTTTAATCTAGTAGATACACATTTTTTTCCTGAATTATATCTAATGTTTTGTTGTTCCATGCTGAATAAAATAATACACAAAACTTTTAGAGCTGAAGATGAGGAGACAAACAGGAAGTGTGTCAGAAGCAGCCAGAAGATCCTGGAAAGATCAGAGGATAGGCAGGAGGAACGATTGGTAGTATCAATAGGAAGATACTGGAAAAGCTTTGGGACAGAGGGCAGCAGTAATGAGAAGACAATGGGTAGGATTCGGAGTGGTGGTGTTCGCATCGGAACTTCTTGGTGGCTGATTACACCCTGGCACAGAATCAACTCTCAGCCAGTTACGCCTATATTACATAACCATTATGACGATAAGGCCAGGTTGCACTGAGTTCTCCAAAGAGAGAAATGCATAGTAATAAGCAAACAGAAATTTAGCCAAAATATTAGTAACGATGTTAAATTTCTAGAACAAACATTTTGCTGTGTCTGTCCATTTCTCTTAGCAGTGATCTTTGAGCATTACCTTGTGGTGGCATAGGTACCGATGCTATGACCGATTTCATTTCCAAATAACTGTCAACACTTTGGCATCCAAATCCACTATCACTGAATTAAAGAGATAAAAGAGGGGAGGGGAAACATTAGTAGTTTCTATCAGCTTTAAGAGCAGATCTGCCCTGCCAAATAGTTAATAAGCTTTGATTTAATTCTAGAAGGTCTACTGAGGAACTGAACAGACCTGGTTCACACACAGGGACAAACAAGACTGTCTCCCTCTTCACTGCTGTAAGTAAAGGAATATTTCAGAATTGTACATAGTCAGGTTTAGGCTAAAATTTCTCTGTGTTTCTTCGCTTAAAATGTTGGGGAACTGAGTAAGAGATTTCGTCAATTATGGTTGGAATGATCTCCAACATTTTTAAAAAAAGGAGATTTGGGTTTTACATGTGGGCCTAGAACTTCAGATTACCCATCTGTCTTAAAATAGAAATTGGAGTCTCTACTGGAGATTGCAATAGAATAATTGCTTACTATTTCAATTAATTAAATGTATATGCCACCCATCTCACTCTCCAAAATCATTTGGGGCAACATTTTGCACACTTAATAAATATGCTGTGATTCAATGCCAGTGTATTAACAAACTCTTAACACAGTTTTACATCTCATACCACTGATGACTAATTTATTACCTTCTTTGGACATACTTTTTTCCAAGGTAGATATTTTTGTAATCAGCTATCAAGTTATCAAGAGTGCATTCCAAGGTTAAACCCTCAATTATGAGATGCTCAGCTTTTTCTCTCAGGAAATTCAGCAAGTCTCCAAAGGGACAATACTCAGTAATTACAAGGACAGGGCCTAGAAAACAGAAAGGAAACATCACTTGAAAGTACAATTGTTTTTCTGCC